CAGATAATGAGGACATCGCTGAGCAATCGTCTGTTGTTCAGCCATATCAATTTGAGCTAGTCACATATAGTGACTACGAGGAAGACCGAACGGACGAAGACGGCATTCTTCATGATACTCTTGAGGCGAGATTTAAGAAAAATGTAGCTGTTAATTCATGGTAAGTAAAGTTATAAAAGTAATATTATATTAACCCGTTCCTCGACTATTTATTACCCTGTTTCGTCTGATATGCGAGTTTATTTTAAGGTGCTCATGTGGACATTGTAGTGACGAATTATTGCAGGACGCTAGAGAATATAGATGCTGTAAGGAAATTTTGGAGTGCATTGACAAATTTACGTTCGAGGACAAGGACGCAGAATGCATCACACAGCACTGGGATTATGCACTAAGTTGAAAAGTTGAAAATGTTCTCGAGTGTGTATTTCATAATTTCCATACCCAGCGCAACTGGCCAAGCAGAAAGATATTGTCTGCCGCGGCTGGGTCTTGAACCCGCGACCTTCGAATTACTAGATCGACGCTCTACCAACTGAGCTACACGGTCAGACGGATTTATATTAAGACTGGAAATTATCAACTATATACTGAATGTCATAAACATACTCGTTTATATTAATTCAGCATCGAACCATACTAGTTCTGCAAGTGTTATGTTAGCCTATATGTTGTAATATGATAATAGTCGTCACCCATCGAACAGTAGCCAACTAGAGACGCAGGGGCTTTTCTCTGATATAAAGTCAGGGAAAAGGTATCATAAACCAACAAGCAGAACCCAAGATAATTAAATATCACTATTTCTTGTATATATTTGTATTCTAAACGATATCTTGTATTCTTTGTTATACAGTATGTCTATAATTTATCTTTTTATATGTATAGCTATATTAGTATACTAATGGGTAATAACAGTGACTTGACTTAGCCTTGGGTTTTGGTAGGCAAATCTTATATATATTCCGACCATACATAAGTAACTTCTTTAGTAGTATTTGCAAACATGAAATTAACGACTCACTGTTTGATTATTTAGATATCTTCGAGCAGTAGCATATCGTTGGATAGTCAGATGATATTTGGCATGCTGGGATGGGAGAATTGCAGACCACTTCCAGCATGCATAGTAAATGCATAAAAACTGACTGCACTGCTTTATAGGGTTACAGTAGATATAGTACAGATGCAAACAAGATTGCGTGCGAGTGCTGGTGTGAGTTTCGTCACGTCGGTAGACGCGCTATCAGCCTGTCGCGCAAAACATGCACGCGTTTCTTGCCGAGGTTTTATAGAGGCTCAAATTCTGGTCTATTTCGTGTACAAAAACACGCAACTACATGTAATAGATTCTCAATGTGAACTTAACGAACGGTTGTGAGTGAAAGAATATAATGAAGTACTGAAGTAGAGCCCATCATTAGAAGCAGCTATATTAAGTAAAGTTCTCAAAGTTTTAATACCCTATCGTATTTTACCATGCTATATATATATATGCAATTCAAAATTTGTTAGTTTTGGAATGGTCCATACTCATGCTATGGTATGTCAGTAAATGTAGATATTTAGTATTAATTTCCATGTTATGCTTACACTAGTTACTACAATGTTTGCCATAATTAATATCAGCTATAGCCAAAGCCTATCTACATAATATGCGGTCTGGAACCTACAACGTAGATATAGGCTAGTCTCTTGTCTCATCAAATTTGCATTTTAATTTTCGGCCGCTTATACGCTACAACTCGTCATGTTGTAATTATATTGTATCTATAGATTGAAAGCGAAGTCTACAGAAAGTGGATTCGTTTCAATTTTCTTCAAAATCTCTCAAAAACCCAATTCTACCCAGACGAAGCTATAATTTTAATAGTGTTTACATATCGAAAGGTCGCACTGTGTCATACTGCATACGTCACTGACCGCGCGATGGAATGTCAGTAATTTCGCCAGTAGATAGTCGAAAAAGCGAACTTTAATCGTAAAATTAACAAACTTCTGGTTCGAATTTTTCAACAAGGTTTGTATTTTTATGATCGGAAAAGACCAAATTTTCAGAAAATGCAAAAAACCCGATATCGAAATTTTCATTTCATATACACTTTAAAAATATTAGGGATTGTACCCTGAGAGCAGAACCTGATTTATAAGGTTGCAAATAATATACAATTTATTGTAAACAATTTATGTCCCATACAATTGTCCCATATGCTATTATATGTAAATACATAAATATAACCGACATTTCTCATCTTACCTCACAAAGTTGCTCTGTGTTTTGCTCTTTAAAAATGTTCTGTTCTTTGAAAAATACAGTAAATACTGCATTATTTATATGCACTGATAAAACATATAATACAGTCACCGAGTCACGAGGTTTTAATAATAACCGAGCAGTAAGGCCATGGGAATGAAAGTCATAGATTTGCGTCCGGATAATTTTGAAAAAACATGCGGGTTTTTTTCATTATTCATTATTCATTATTTTTTTACCATCCTTTTGGGTGGTAAATACAGAGATCAAAACACGAATTACCGTTTACGCCACGGAATTACATATATCTCGAGCTCACGCAGTTGCAGTACTGAAGATCTGTGTGCCAATTTCGCCATTTCGGTGAATATAATTTTGAATTTCATAGAATGTGGATACTGAGGACAAACACACTGCAATATGTTCATTTTATTGTAATCAATACACAATTTTATTGCTAATTTTATTGAGTTTTGCTTTATTTGTGAAAATAATGAATTTTTTTGTAAATAATGAAAATTTTAGGCGGTAGCTTTTGAGGCATGCGGGCGGTGGACGCAAATCTATGACTTTCATTCCCATGGCCTAATAACCGAAAGTTTCATTGAATATTTATTAACGGTGAGTCGGTGATCTTTTTCCCACCGGCAAAGTTTCCTTATTGCATAATAACAGGCGCGGTTACAAAGCTCCCAACGAAAGTGATCCCAACAAGAAAATATTTCTTTAAAAAAGAAATAATGTTTCGTTCCAATATAATTATAGAAATACCAGACGTCTGTAATTAGCGGTTGTGACCATAGATCACTTGTATATGTCGAGCAATGAAATTGGTTCATATATTTTGTGAGGCGGGCGGGTTCTATAAATTTTCATTAGCCGGAGGGGCCGAGCGGTCCAGAAATACAGTTGTAGTATTTAAAATGAAGAAAAACAAAGAAAACTATATAATAAATATATACCGCTGTTGGCGCTTGAATACTTCAAATATAAATCATCGTGCCTGTAGATTTTGACCTGAAGTTCAGGCCCTAGATTTTGATTGGTTGCAAGTTCACATAAACAATAGTTTTAAAAATAGCTCGGTAGTCGGTGAAGGGCTCAAGGGGACAATAATAATATAAAGGTCAAATGCACGTAACAAATCCATTATCGATTTCTTCGAATTTCTTTTCTTTTATGCTTTATGGCAGAAAATAAATCAAACAAATAGTATTTTGAAGGTCTTTATCAAGATCTTTGACGAATTTTGGACACACGACGCTGAAAGAACAGCCAAACTAGTCATCTATTCGAAAGTTTGTTGTTGACAGCCAAGATGTTCTGCCAACTGGCTTCGCCGGCAAAAGTCTTATTTTTAATATCAGGTCCTACCGGCGTTGTTTTCTGAGCTACATCGCCTTCTTCGTGGTACGATTGAGAATTTTATTGTTGCTGTTGTTAGCCCGTTAAAGTATATCCTTGGTATATATCCGCGTCCAGCAAGTTGAGACCTTGAGAAAGCTTGGCAGTCAAGCTGTACACAGAACTGACTAATTGAATCTTCGTTTGCTGTTCGGTTAAATAGAGAAACTGACTTTTAATTATATAAAAGTACCTTGAATTTTTAAGTTTAATTAAAAAGCAAAATGCACACTCTGCGGACATGTTCATGAGAATATAATTTTTTTGTCTATTAAACGAAATCTATAACACTTGTCAATCATATTGCATGCTGCGTCTAAAAATAACATGTGAGCGTCCCACGCTCTAGACAGGTTTTGTGTCAGGCCCTATTTAAAATTAGGGCCTAACTTCAGGTTAAGTTAGCATGTTCTCATAGGTTGATATATAATTAACTAAGATTTCCGAATTATCCCCCACGCCTCCAAAAAACTTCTTATGCTAGGAGCGATCATCTCATTGGACGATTTTAAATGTAATTGACGTTTGAGCAAGAATACTGGCAAAGGATTGGATAACTTTGATCTCTGACGTCACTTTCCTGTGATAATTGCTCGAAACCAAATACAGTACCGTTTCGTTCCTGCGGGGAACGAAACAAAAAAAATTTCTGCGTTCCCAATACGTACAGGGGCGTAGGAACCGGGGGGCAAAGGTCACCCAAGTTTTAAGAAGACACAAAAAGTGCCCTTTTTCCGGTGGCAAAGTGCCCTTTGCTTTCGTGAAAAATATTGTTCAGATTGCATTTTTGACTCACGGATGTTGCAAAGCAACAACCAGAATTCAGAACCAGAAATCGGGCTGGAGCATTTTTCTTTCAATATAGAGTATTGCTAATTTAGAAATTTTTTGTGCTCGATATTTTTTTTGATGGTGTTGATGTTCGATTTTTTTTTCTTCAATTCGAGTCATGCTCGATATTTTTTTTCGGATTTTGCTTCCCCATGAAAAATCAAATGGTCCGTCCCTTAGAGTTCACTGGTGTTGGCTGAGGAGTTTGTTGAAACCCGCATGCGCAATACCGCAGTGTGGCAATCACAATGGTCAAATAGTCCCGTCAACATCCTGTGAATTTTGAAGGAAAGCTCCACACTTTTGAAGTTGAAATTAAAAGAATTCTAGCAGATGCCGTGCTATTGAAACCCATTATAACAGAAGCATGCCAAACCATATAAACGAAGACGAAGAGCCTTTTATTCAACTACACGAAGGCGCTGAAAACATGAATGTGAATTCAGTGAACTTGCCTGACAATATTTCGACGATAATACACTGCCATGATCTCAGGCCTGTCACCTCGAACAAGAAAGCATGGAAAAAACTGATCATTGCTAGTACTTTATGTTTTATTTTTGCCGTAGGAGAAGTAGTTGGTAAGTAGTTTTTTAATAGTATTATATTTTATATTTATAATTGTGTGTAATATAAAAATCAACATTTGTTGTATACAGATGTAAATACTTATAACTTATTTTATAGCTGACAATGCCATTTGTCGTTTGCGAATGGCAGGAATCGCAAGATTATATCATTTATATCTAGAAGTGTTTCCATAGAAAACCTTAGCCTCAGAAGATATGATAAAACCAAGTTGTAACTAGCTGAAACTAAAACATGTCTATAAAAATATAAACAATAGTAGGAATTTTAGAATAACAATGAAAATGAAACTACCTGTTTTGTAGCCTATTAGACGTCACAGACATAGTCCTTTCAAATTTTCACAGTGTCCTGACTGGAAAGTTTAGGAATTGTGCGCTGGATATATCAAAATATTTGCACAACAAGTATTGTGCAATAACCAAAATTGCACAATACAAACTTTCCAAATAAGTTGAAATGATTAAATGAAATACACTGTCAGACTATTTTTACAGTTAATTAACTACAACATATATTAAACTCCACGATCCATCAGTACACACAAGGCCATATTTCTGGATTTAGTTTGATGTAAACTAGGAAACTGTACACATTTTGAAACAGTTCTGTTTGGTAATGTATTACTTTGGAACTTTATTTACTTACAGTATGTATTTGTGAAAGTTATTTTGACTTCCGTCTTTTAATTGAAGATTTTATATATCACAAGTAGTGATCTTTCCGCTTGGCAACAGAACTAGCTGACATGTCTGACCTAGCCGGGATCATATAAACTGGTGCTGAAAGATAGTTTGTCCGATATCCAAGTGATATTGTAGTTTTCATAAAAATGCGAATTGTGTTTATAGTGTTTGCACAGGTGAATGCAGCTGTTTTACAAATACTTTTTCATGGGCATTTGAAGCAGTATGAAGCATGCATTTATTAACATCTATTTTCCTTTACATCTGGCTGGCCAGACTTGACTGGCCAGGTAAGCAATAGTGCAGGATTGGGTGTACTGTTGGTCATCAGCCAATGTTTCTAACAAGGGTTGTTCGTCATTAGAGTAAAATGAGTGTAAATGTTATGAACAACAAAATAATAGACAAATATTCAAGTTTGTAGGTGGTGAGCTGTAGATAAATGTTTTCATGTCAGTGGTCAGTTAATGCAATATTACATAAAATATGACTGATCAATTCAAATATAGCAAGTTCTGACAGGGCTTAAAAAATAGGCGTATGCGTATACGGACGTGTATAGCTTGGCATGTACGCCAAAAATTTCTGACAAGTACAATAGTGTACACTTCCTACATCAGAGCTGAACCGTTACCGCTTTCTGTTTGCCTTAAAATTGTCCAGACAATGAACAAACATTCACTTCTAACCTTGATTCTGAAATATCTATAGGTGTATGTACCACAGAATACCACAATACCACAGAATACCAGTCTTATTTATTTCTTATATAAAATTTGAAGGAAATATGCTATGACTGTGATTATATATTAGTTTTAGTCTTAATTGACATATAAAAACAAAAAATGTATATTTTCTTAAAAATTCTTAAAAATAATCAGGATTAACAAGAAGTAACATTCTATATTTTTGGTACTTTTTTTCACGTAATGCCTGTAAAATCCAAATGTTTAAAAATAAGTTCGCAAACCAGCATAATTTATGTTGATCAATACTTTTTCTATGCAACACAACATTACTACACTGCAGTGGCGTAACGGGAGGGTGTCAGGGTGTCCAGTGACGGGGGGCCCCCGAACTTTAGACCCCCCCGACAAAAATGACCATAAAAAATTTGATAGACTAAGCACATTTCTGGGGAATTGAATTCATTGAATTGAATTTTTCTTTAGAAAAACCATTCTCTGGAAAAGGCTAAATCCGTGGAGAAGCTGAGACGGATTAAGTACGTTGCGACTGAGGAAAAGGACGATATACTAGAATGATTTAATCCCAATATCATTTGGTATGTCCGGAAAAAATTTTGGACCCCTAAAATGGTACACTGACCGAAATTTTTTTGGCGAGGGGGGATGGGGGGGGGGGGAGGTCGCCAAAATTAAATTGTTCCGAGAAAAATTTTTGGAGTCTATTTTTAGTGAAGCAAAGGGGGCCCAAAGTGGCCGATTGACGGAGGGCCCCCAGCGGTTGCGTTACGCCACTGCTACACTGGAATCACACAGTGAAATCAATTTTATCACTGAAAAACTGAATTTTCAAAATTATTCATAAACCTGGTATTCTTTGGTTATACCACTGGTATTCTGTACTGATTTTAGTGTTTAACTTTCACTAAGTTAAGTTAGCAATATCCCACAGTATTATCATACAACATGACACACCAAATCCTTGTACAATTTGATAAACCATTGCTTACTTACCTCTGCACTGGTATTCTGTGGTACATTGGAGTTTTTCCCACAGAATATTCATTTTAAAAAAATAATTAAGTCTATGAAATCTTGCCCCAAAACCCCCAGGAAGAAAAAATAAATCGATAGACTATACTAAAAAATATTAAGGAACCATATTATATACATTTATATAATAGACAAGAGATATGGAACATGTAATTTTTTGCGGCATTCTGTGGTACATACACCTGTATATATTTATAATTATAACAATCAAGCATGAAACATTGATCTAGAAACATTGAGTTCACTGCCTGAATCCCAGACCGCCATCTTTGTTTACATCGTTTAAATCCAGCATTTCAAACGCATTTTTATACGAGAATTTTATACGAAAACTAGTACACAATTTAATCGTACGTCAACATCGATTAAACATTCATCAACTTAGTTCACAGTTTAGCTGTAGATTCATTCAAATCCGATGAAAAATTGTGGAGGGGACACACTACAGGATATGTGTGTCACTTCGCAGAAGTAACGAAAGCTTGAGTGTATGCGATAGCGTCAAATTTGAAGCAGTCTTATCTTCAGTGGTCTCATCTTCAGTGGTCTCATCTTCAGTGGTCTCACCTTCAGTGGTCTCATCTTCAGTGGTCTCATCTTCAGTGGTCTCATCTTCAGTGGTCTCATCTTCAGTGATCTCATCTTCAGTGGTCTCATCTTCAGTGGTCTCACCTTCAGTGGTCTCATCTTCAGTGGTGTCATCTTCAGTGGTGTCATCTTCAGTGGTCTCATCTTCAGTGGTCTCATCTTCAGTGGTCTCACCTTCAGTGATCTCATCTTCAGTGGTCTCATCTTCAGTGGTGTCATCTTCAGTGGTCTCATCTTCAGTGATCTCATCTTCAGTGGTGTCATCTTCAGTGGTGTCATCTTCAGTGGTCTCATCTTCAGTGGTCTCATCTTCAGTGGTCTCACCTTCAGTGGTCTCATCTTCAGTGGTGTCATCTTCAGTGGTCTCATCTTCAGTGGTCTCATCTTCAGTGGTCTCATCTTCAGTGGTGTCATCTTCAGTGGTCTCATCTTCAGTGGTCTCATCTTCAGTGGTGTCATCTTCAGTGATCTCACCTTCAGTGATCTCACCTTCAGTGGTCTCATCTTCAGTGCTCTCATCTTCAGTGGTCTCACCTTCAGTGGTCTCATCTTCAGTGGTGTCATCTTCAGTCGTCTCATCTTCAGTCGTCTCATCTTCAGTGGTCTCATCTTCAGTGGTCTCATCTTCAGTGGTCTCACCTTCAGTGGTCTCATCTTCAGTGGTCTCATCTTCAGTGCTCTCATCTTCAGTGGTGTCATCTTCAGTGGTCTCATCTTCAGTGGTCTCATCTTCAGTGGTCTCATCTTCAGTGGTCTCATCTTCAGTGGTCTCATCTTCAGTGGTCTCATCTTCAGTGGTCTCATCTTCAGTGGTCTCATCTTCAGTGCTCTCATCTTCAGTGGTGTCATCTTCAGTGGTCTCATCTTCAGTGGTCTCATCTTCAGTGGTCTCATCTTCAGTGGTCTCATCTTCAGTGGTCTCATCTTCAGTGGTCTCATCTTCAGTGGTCTCATCTTCAGTGGTCTCATCTTCAGTGGTCTCATCTTCAGTGGTCTCACCTTCAGTGGTCTCATCTTCAGTGGTCTCATCTTCAGTGGTCTCATCTTCAGTGGTCTCATCTTCAGTGGTCTCATCTTCAGTGATCTCACCTTCAGTGATCTCACCTTCAGTGGTCTCATCTTCAGTGCTCTCATCTTCAGTGCTCTCATCTTCAGTGGTCTCATCTTCAGTGGTCTCATCTTCAGTGGTCTCATCTTCAGTGGTCTCATCTTTAGTGGTCTCACCTTCAGTGATCTCATCTTCAGTGATCTCACCTTCAGTGGTCTCATCTTCAGTGGTCTCATCTTCAGTGCTCTCATCTTCAGTGGTCTCACCTTCAGTGGTCTCACCTTCAGTGGTCTCATCTTCAGTGGTCTCATCTTCAGTGGTCTCATCTTCAGTGGTCTCATCTTCAGTGGTCTCATCTTCAGTGGTCTCACCTTCAGTGGTCTCATCTTCAGTGGTCTCATCTTCAGTGGTCTCATCTTCAGTGGTCTCACCTTTGGCCAGTGTGTATATGGTCAAGGACAATTAAAATGGTTGCATGCAACCCACAATGCTGCAATATGAAAGTCGATAACAAATTAATTAGTTTTCAAGTGGACAGTGGGCCACATGCAATGTAATAATCAAACCAAATCTAGGGCACATTGTAATACAGACTCAAACGGTGTTACATTCCTGTGGCTAAGAATTCCAATTATTTTATCGAAGACCCATCAGTCTCATGTGGTCATGGAAGGATGTCTAAAGCCCTGATCTAACGAGAATGAGAGTTGAGAAGCGAGAGTTTGCATGGAAGTTTTCTCAACTCTCATGCCCTGGTCAAACAAGAACATGAGTAGCTTGAGAGTTGACTGGATATTACCCCGCGCAAAGCCAAAACTCTCATCAACTCTCATCAAAATTTGAACCAATTCAGAGTTAATGAGATTGCATGAGACTGAGAGTCGATGACAGTTCGCGGTCAGACATGTTAAATAGGCATGTTAAATAGGCGGCCAGCATATCTTCAAGATTACATACATTAAGTTTGGTAGCTCTGGGTATAGATTTGCTTCAAGCCTGCCTTTCAAATTGTTTTTTATTTGGGATTTATAAATAGTGCGCGAAAATGCGGGCGGGTTGAATTTTAAGATCGCCTCGCAGCAGCCCGCCGTAAAATTTCCCGCCCGCATTTCCACGCACCCTTTAATAATAAAATCCCAAATAAAAATCCCTTTGAGAGGCAAACTTGGAGCAAGTCTATAGTCTAGTTTAATAGTACTTTATAAATTTAGGAATTTGGACATTTAAATTTAGGAATTCGAATAGTTCGACATTTACATGTAAAGGCAGGCAGATAGAGGACCAAAATTATGGAAAACTTACCATATCGTGGGACAATTCCATTTTGCCTTCATATTGTGCCCTGAAGGCTAATAGTACGTTTCTGTATGTTGGCCGCGTTAAAATTTCTTGTCGGCTCCTGCCGACACGTTTTTCTTCGAATTTTGTATTAAACTCTATTACAGTTAAAAAATGTGAAATTTCTGATACATTTCTAATACAAATGACTTGCATCAATAGAAAGCTAACAAAAAACTACATATGAAACATTTAAATGGTTAGTTGGGATTTTCAAGCGGTTTTCGAGTTATTGCCGTTTCAAATGTGAAAAATAAGCCAAAATCTCGCAAATTTCCTGGGTACTAGTCTGAAAACACGCATTCAACAGCTCATAACTCAAGAAGAACTTGAAAAACCCTGGTAATCATTTAAATGTTTTATATGTAGTTTTTTGCAAGCTTGCAAATGATGTAAGTCATTTGTGTTAGAAATGTATTTGAAATTTCACATTTTTTAACTGTAATAGAGTTTAATACAACATTCGAAGAAAAACGTGTCGGCAGGAGCCCACAAGAAATTTCAACGCGGCCAACATACAGAAACGTACTAACTAGCCTTCAGGGCACAATATGAAGGCAAAATGGAATTGTCCCACGATAACGTAAGTTTTTTCCTTCTATCTGCCCGACTATAACTTATTAATTTGGATGGTATAGAAGCTTTGTTGATGTTGCGATATTAATTATGCATATTAGTTATATATATTAGTTATGCATACTATATATTAGTTATGTGTTGGCAATCCCTCGATATCGAGTAAGATGTCTACTTGACAGTTTCACAGTTGGTGCTCTCTCCTCCGCAGAGGCTTTAGTTTTCTTAGGATTTAATATTACGATGAGAAACATTTCACTACACTTTACATGGCGGATCTTGGAACACGAGCGTAGCCGCTGGGGGAAGGAGCGCAGTTCGTGTATGACTGTGGAGACCATGCAATTCTCGAGAAGCAGGATCGTCGGCAAACTGGGCATATATATTCTGTTGTTGGGACTATGCTAGCAGCATCTTGGCGGCTCTTTCTCGCAGTTCGTAGTCTTTCACGATGATCGATCTTCTGTTCACAGTGCTCTTCACCGGTGTGGGTCACTTGTCTCCACCCAGGTATATCGATGGCTGTTTGTTGATTTTGTTCCCAGCTTTCATGATTGATGCCGCATTGTTTCATATTATGCTTCAAACTTGATCTGCTAAAATCTAGCAGATTTCTAATTAACTATCTTGGATTCCTTTACGACAACCATACAAAATGCAAATTATAAATTAAACTATAAAAATCATCCAAATATCAAATATTTATTGACCTCATCTTGGATTGCTAATTAAAAATCTGCTAGATTTTAGCAGAGGTTGGTTATCGAACACTCCGCCCTCGTAATCTGAGGTGACGGACAGCAGCACTCGCAGATCTCAGACGAGATTGTATTTCAGCGTCCAGATCCGTCTTACTTGAAAGGCAGCTGCCAAGAAGTAAAATGGTCAACTCAGCTAAAGCACTGTTCATTAACCGAGATCTTTGGTGGCTGATGTTCTTGCACGTTGTTCGAACCTCATAGTTGAAGGCATCCATAGCTGCTTGTAGGCCTTGCTCTGTGTGAGATACTATTGCGTTATCATCGGCATATTGAAACTCAAGTATCGTCATTTGGATAACCAGAGTTTTAGCCTTTGGTCGTCGAAGATTGAATAGTTTGCCGTCCAAACGATAGTGTAAATCTATGCCCTGCGGTAGCCTTTCACTAAACAGGTGTAGAACGGCAGAGATAAAGATTGAGAAGAGACCTGGAGCCAAAACACATCCTTGCTTGACACCAGTCTTTACTTCAAAGCTCTCAGTTGCTTCGCCATTAATAAGAATTGATGCAGACATGTTATCATTGCAGCAGTCGCACTAGATTGATAAACTTCTCAGGACATCCGATCTTCGACAGAACTTTCCACATGGTTGGCCGGTCTACAGAGTCAAAAGCTTTTCAGATCTATAAAAGCTATATAAAGGTCCACATTTTGTATGCCACACTTTGTGCTTGTAGCCTGCCTAATAAGTATTTTTTTTACATGCGTTTGGCCTTATTGAAAAGCCCGAAACACTGAACATTTTAAGAAACATCCTTGTTCAGAAATGAACTGAACAGATCGACATATTTCAAAAGTAAATCTCCTGGGGCCGGTTGTTCGTAGCCCGTTTAGGCTAAACGGTGTATATAAGTCGAAAATATTTATCAAGTTTATACAATTCATCAAATAACCAAACTAATAAAAATATTTCAACTTAAGTAGAACAATTATGTGTGCAACTATATATTTAGTGCATGAGGTTTAAGTTCAGTCATTTATAAAATGTGTGAATCTGTTATGTAATTTTGACTTATCCACCGTTTAAGCTAAACGGGCTTCGAACAACCGGTCCCTGCTAACACTGTTGGAGATAGGCCTTCCTTAAAAAGTTAACACTCATGCAGAGTTGCGTTACCTACTTGTTTCACATGATCACAGCATTGCAGGAATCCAGTCCGTATTTTCTGTGTATATACTTAGGATGTATGTTTTTCAATTCTCATTCATTGTCTGGGATTTATCAACTTAAATTCAGTTCATTTCATTAAGGTGGGATCTATGCAGGAAGCTTGGCAATAATGACAGATGCAGCACACATGTTTTCAGATTTTGGGACATTTTGCATAAGTATGCTTGCTTTGTATATTGCAAAGAAACAAGCAAACCATAAACGAACATTTGGACTTTACCGTGCAGGTTTGTGACTGTATAATTTCTTCTGTGTAAATGCAATTTCTTACATTGTGAAATATGATTGTAGTTAGAGGGCTGTGTTGGCCATGTTAATTACCATGCATTTATATAAAACTGTGTAGGCTTACCAAATGGAATGCCGCTATTATAATATTTGTTGTTGTTATAATATTTACGTTTACTGTAGATATATAAGGCCTGTTTCAAACGTCGCGCTTCTCATGTGCCGAACGCATTAAAAACAATAGATAATCAGATGAAATGCCTCATTATCTATTGTTTCTAATGCGTTCGGCACATGATATGCCCCACGTTTGAAAAGGCCTAAGTCATGAGAACTGTTAAAATAGCGTACTAAATACTAGCTAAGAGGGCCAGGCCTAAAATACTGAATTGTCAAATTGTAATGTGGTGTAGAATTATATGAGATGGTGGCCTTGGTTGCAATGCATGCATATTATAGAACAATATATGAAAATCTAAAATTTAAAATAACATTGTTGAATAAACTGCAATGGTACTTTGGCAGGTAAATTCCTGGAAGTTAAGAAACACTCCCGAAATCTAAAAACCTTAGCTAAGACACTAGCCCCACCCCCATCTTTACCAGACCTTTAGTTTCTAACCCCTAGTCACCACCATTGCATGGCAGGCATAGATATCTCATATGAGATATCTATGATGGCAGGGCATTTCTTTTTGCAAATAAAATATTTTAATTATAGCCTTGTCTTTTTTTTACTTCAAAGAAATTCTTGGTGCAGTACTGTCTGTGCTTGTCATTTGGTTTTTAACGGCAGTGTTAGTCTATATGGCAGCACATCGGATCATGCAGAAAGAATATAGCATTGATGCAAATATAATGATTTTCACAGCTTCTTTTGGAGTTTGTGTCAATGTTGTGTAAGTACATATCAAACCATCATACCAAATGTAGTTGAATGCCTGGTGGGAAGTTTGAAAATATTTGCTTTGAAAATGACTGAAAATGGACATCTACCAGTAGTATAACAGCCGCCCGGTTGTCTCTAATCAACCAGAGGTGCAAGAAGAACAAAGTAGCCTGAATTTCAGCTTATGGGAACCTCAGATCCGACCAGAAGTAAATAGCTGAAACTCTTAGAGCATTAGCGTTGGCTTTCTGTCGCCTAATCTCTAGACCGATCTTAAGTTATCTGTCATAATGTACAGTACTAAATATGTACTGTATAAGTTTAGCACCTGGCACAATGCACTAACGTATACTGTATAAGGAACTGTGAATGTTGATGCACATCGGCCTGAAGTCTAAATAATTAAAAAAAACTTATTTCAGGCTGTGGCATACAATGCCCACAGTCGGTATTTAATCTGTGCAAAGTCACTAGGCTATAATCTACGTATACAGTGCAAACAAAATGGTTTCTCCCATTTGGAAGAGAGATTAAATATATTTCATTCGATGTATTTCAAAACCTTATCACAGATTTTCTTTATCGTTCTTGATATAAAAGATATTACACTTCATTTCAAACAAAATCATTATTTGTCGGATATGCGTGACGTCACAGCCTAAGTTGCTGTTAGCTACAGTTAGTGTTAACGTCAACCAATCAAAATCTTGTGTTTTAGAGTTAACTACTATTTAACTGCAAAATAGTGGTTAAAACGTAGTTAAGAGTTTTATACAACCGGCCCCAGGATAACATTATTTTGTACCTTAAGCACAATTCTCGGGTCATTTTAATGCTATAAACCTAATTATTTTACTACTGGCTGTTTTAAATTAAAGCACAAGCTATGTATGAGCCTTTATTTATGTTTATTTATGACAATATTTAAATAGGAAACTCTCTCACGTAAAGTGATTTTCAGAGAGGTCCTATATTTAAAAATATACATATATAAATATGAGTCATAAAAACCAAATCCATCACATTACAATAAGGTTAACGTTAAAAATCAATAAAAGTATGCCTAGTGTTTAAATTACAAGTAAGACTAAGAGCTGTGAGCTATCTACAACAATAAAAATAGTAACTAAATAGAATTCAAAGAGTATATATACGTCAGCATGCTATGAGTGTTATAATTCAGCACTAGTGAGTTTTAAAATAGTTCATTTTGAACTTAGCAATCGAGTCTGAATGTCTAGTCTCTTCGTCAAGAGTGTTCCAATCGTTTACTGCATGGTACTCGAGCCTTTGCTTGCCCCAATTTCGTTTAACTTTAGGCAAGCATAAATTGTTCTTATTTCTAGTGTTATAGGAATGAAGTTCGCTTAGCGATTTCAAGATTAGCTTAGACATAGATAGCCCATTCAAACATTTAAAAATGAATAAACATCTATGATAAAATCGACGTTGGTGAAGCCTGTTCCATCCTAACTCATCCAGCGCAGCACTAGACGAAGAAAGTGGGTGATAGTCAAGGATGATTTTTGCTGCTTTGTTTTGGAGAATTTGTAAATTGCCCACTAATATTGTGTTTCAGTTTTAAAACGTTTGCCCAGGTTGTGACGTCGTTTAATTAGATGTAATTATGAAACAAGATGGAGGATGGCAGGATGTTTTGGTTGCAAATATCTCAGAAATTAGATAGAATTTGTAAATAATCCTAACATTCTTTGAAATTAGGCAAACATAATATTTGTTGCCATTTTCCTTTTAACCATGCTTTGCTGTGACATATTTGTGATTTTTTCTAGCTTGGGCTGCATCCTCCATGAATCTGGTGTCGGACATTCCCACGGTGGTATGCATTCTCATCATCATTCCACAGATGAGAGAAACATTAATGTCAGAGCAGCTTTCATTCATGTTATTGGGGACACTGTACAAAGTATTGGTGTACTTATTGCTGCGCTTGTCATTAAATTTAAGGTAATGGACTATATAATGCTAACATCAAACTTATTGCTCTGGGGCCGGTTGTTCGAAAGCTCGTTAGCTTAATCTTAAGTTATAACGAAAAACGTCAAAGCAATCTTCCCGACAGCTTGTCTGGATCAACAGGAGTTTTCTTTTCTGAAGTTTTGAAATACCTGTAAACAGACAATAATTTTACAACCTTGAAAGGATTGGGAGGCTATAATTGGTATACCAAACACTGGCTAAATAAAAGTTAGACCATGCCAAGAATGTAGAATTAGAATATTTAGTTAACCTTCGACTTTCAGTTTGTACAAGGTGTTTGATATTCAAATTGTTCTTTTCCTACCTCCTGAACAGGTGTCGTAGGCATAGATATCTTATATACACTAGATAGTGCATCTAATTATTCTGCAATTCAAATATTGAAGCCGTGATTGCAGTCTCAGGTCGTTCCCATGAAATGAGAAGATTGGTATTTTTTCTATTTCTAAAACAGGGAACTTAAACATTAAGTTAATCCTATTCCAAATACATTTTAAAACTATTCAAATGATGAAAGTTATTGTTGTTTTTAAGCGTTTATTAGCAAGTGGGAACGACCAACATGGCCGCCATCTATTCAAATGGGGGTAACCGCTGGAAAATTCTTGGCTTCAATTTTACTAAAAGAGATGCGCTATCTAGTGTATATAAGATATCTATGGTCTTAGGGAATGTTTACATGTTAGAAGGCGGGGTCATTTTGATGTATTGAAATACGTCACTAGGCTGAACGAAAGTTCAAATGCTGGTTATTAACAGAACTCAAATGTTGTATAGAGAAGATCTTGTAGTTTAAGAAGATTACTATTGCTGCTTGAACAACCTTTCGTTACAGTTACAACTATAATGTATCTAGAAAATAATGTAGCTTTTTGCTGAATTGTGCACCATGACTTATTTCAATACATCAAAATAATCCCATCTCACATCTCGTCCTGGCAAAGCGGATCATATAAACAGCTCCTTATTCAGTAAATTGTGCATGCTGCCTTTGATTTCTTGGGGGTGAGGCAGCAATTTCCTTGCGATAGTAACTTCTAGTTTAGTTGTGTTTAGTTTAGCACTTTTTTATTTTTTTTCAATTTTAAAATTACTTGTATTATCTCGGTTAATCTGGGTTGGCAGCGCCCATTATGAACGGTTGTAAATTAGTACAGTTTATCCGGAGATACATTTTACATGATAAAATTGCTTGGGCGCTTTCTCAACATATGCAACACCCTACCTTAACCCTAACCAGGGTCGCCGAGAGTTTGATGGGGGCCGGCGCAAAACTTTTCCAGGGAGGCCTACCACGTCATAAAATTTTCCAAGGAGCCCCTTTGACGTCATAATTGTTAGATTTACACTATATTACGTTTTATTGCGTATTATTCGGCACTGAAGATTTATATTTTTGGTTAAGCAATCTGGTATCAAGAAATTTTAGGGGCTTCCCTTTTGATGTCCCTTTTGAGCTGGGGCCCTGGGAAAAATGCTCCTGCCCTCGGCATTGAACCTAACATTAACCCTAAAGCCTTTTTTAACACTATCAAAGTTTCTGTTATCACAGTAGGTTTTGTTTGTAAGAAATGTTTGAGAGAAAACTGACTCGGTGTCTGACTTAGTGTTATAACTGATTGCAAAGCCATGCAATTGCACTTTAACACGTATAACAAATCTTGATTTTCTTTTCTTACAGCCTGGATGGGCAATTGCAGATCCAATATGTACATTTCTGTTCTCCTTCTTGGTTTTGCTAACTACAGTCAATATTTTACGAGATGCTCTGCATATTTTATGCGAAGGTAAACTGAAGTGCCACTAACCACAAACATGCATATTTTTGGTATATTAACATTTCTGTAGCGCAAATTTATATGTGGATATGATCAAATACGCTTTACATCAAGTATTATTTATTGAAAATAATTCAAGAGTTTTGATTGGCTAAGAGCTGTCATATCCGCTCGGTAGCTGCCCAAATTTGGAGTTATGACATTACCGTGGAATACTGAAAACAAATATACACGTTTGACATAATTTCGTGGTATATTGAAAAACAGTGTAACACGCTATGACGTCACGCTAATTTATGCAGTTAATGCCAAAAGCGGGAAAATACAAATGGCTTCCTCAAAGGAAAGATTCACCGACTTTGGGGAAGCGAAATTAAAAAATTGCTCTAAGAAAAAGACTAAAAAAAAACACAAAAAAGCTACAAAGGAAGAAAAGTGATCTTTGAAGAGTATCTACGAGAAAAGAAGCTTGGTCATCACATTATATTATTGTTATTCCACTTTCAGCAGCTTGGCGTCTTCTTGAGTCCGAAATATTTACAAATATATAATAAAACAATGATTGGATTCGGTTCTCGCAGGATATGAGGAATTATTAAGGCCTCGGATTGTGATATCAGCCTTTGGCTTCGGCAGATATCACAAACCTCGGCCTTAATAATTCCTCATATCCTAGTCGACCTCATTCAATAATTGTTTATTATGCTCACCTAATTTCATACTTAGCCTAGACTGTTTTATCTTTTACAACAATTATGATATTACTCTCTTAACTGTGTTTATCCTAACCCACCCTGTCAACTTTCCCTGTGGAGGCCGGAGCACCTGGAGAAATCCACGACTTTCGGCAGAGCGTTGGTCATTCTGAGAAGAAATGTAATATATCTTTCTAGTAAAAAAACAAAGGAAAAACTATGTACAATTGATCTAATGACATCGTATCCGGCAACATTGCCAACGAAACAGTTGATCAAGATGAGGCTTTTAGTATAAAAAATATTTTTCTGCATCTAGGCGCACCCAAATCGATGGAATATTCTAAAGTAAAAACAATGTTAAAAGATGCACCTGGAGTTATGATGGTTCATAGTTTACATATTTGGTCTCTGAATGTGGATAAGCACTGCTTGACCGCACATTTAGCCATTGGTGAGAATATTTGCACTTTTATCTTCTTATATTATGAATTTGATTATTTATATGCGATATATCAAAGATGAGGAACGAGTTCCACTATCAAGTCTAACGTTTCGCAATTTCGTCCTCCGATATTTAAACGCTGATACTGCATGTGTTGTCCCTTAAGTTTGTTTTTGGTTCATGAATGAATAATTCGATATTACAAATTCATCGCCAGATCTGCGCACAAGACAAAAAGTGCTGAGCACACTGGTTATATCATAGTTAATAGAATAGATGGTTTGGAAACTCCTTATCTATATGTTAATCAACTTTTATTCATAAATTCGGTCCTTCGATATCACGTGCGTATTGTATTTTTGCCCAACTAACCAATAGCAATGTTTTAGGAAAGTTACTTATCTGTGACTCGAACAATAGGGTAAATTGGAAATTGCCATTGGTGGATTTGGCAAAAATACAATACACAAGTGACTATGAAGGACCATATTTATGAATAAACGTTGACTAACATAGATAATGAGTTATATTGTTATTCTAATGAGTTTCCAAACCCATCTATTCTATTAACTGTGGTTATATTAGCGACAAAGATTTGCGATATCACTCATTTACATTACAAGGGCAAATACCAACTTAAAATGAACATAGTTATAAACAACCAATCGCGAATCTTGTTAATTTTCAGTAAGCTTGTGGCGACCCCAAACAGAATAGGGGACAGTAGTGCAACATTGCAGCTTAATTGGTTTGTGATGTAGCTATTACATGTTTTAGAGTAGTTCTACAGTGTAGCATGTTTTTATTTTCTAGATTCAACTGTTGATTCCCAAGAGTCCCTTCAGCATGCATTACAGACATTGAAAAAAAATTTCCGATTTTTTCACACCACACTTCAAGTGGAAACATACCAACCAGCGATTATGTCATCTTGTCCAGACTGCTTAGCACTAAATGTACCAATTAATTCTTAATCATAGCTATGCCCGGTTAATTTCAGGGACCTAATTTAACTCCCAGGGGCCGGTTGTATAAAATTAGGGAGCTTAAAGGCACAGTTCAGCCTTTTGAACGATGGTTTTTAAGGCGCATTTCAGCCCTTTTAATTGAAAAAACTAACTAGGAAAATCAATTAAGCATAATTCAAGATCACCAAACTCAATGTTTTTAACATTTTAAAACATTTTTATTGTTAAAAACATCCAGTTTATTGATTTTGAATTATACTTAATTGATTTTCCTAGTTAGTTTTGTCAATTAAAAGGGCTGAAATGCGCCTTAAAAACCATCGTTCAAAAGGCTGAACTGTGCCTTTAAGATGCACCAAATCTGCGACGCGGACGCGACTAAAAAAAACAGTCGCTAATAATTGGAGACTAGTTTTACTTTGTTTTTTCTCGTGTCCCTGGCTTTGTTTACCAACAACAATCCATAGTTTTTTACCCGTGAAGTGAAACGAACTGTGTTAATAGCGGCAGTTTTTCGCCACGTCCGCGTCGTAGATTTGGTGAATCTTAAGCCCCGTTTACACTACGCTCAATTTTTGGTACGGCATGGATAAATTGGTACCCGTACCACTTTGTTTTCACTACCTATTTAGGTAGTCCAAGAACCAAAAAAGTGGTACGGTACCAAAAATCGAGCGTAGTGTAAACGGGGCTTTAAGCTTCCTAATAGACAGATTAAGATAGAGGACGCGGACGTCAAAGACGATGTGAAAATGGCGTGTTGTGCCCATGTATGGATATGCCACGCCATTTTCACGTCGTCTTTGACGTCCGCGTCCTCGATCTAAAGCCGGTTTTCCACTAGCGATTTTTTTCGCGCGAAGCGACATTTTGCTATTGTTTTAGAGCTCTCAGCTGCAACCATCTGGAACAAATTGCCCAAAGACAAAGGAATAAATTCGCTTCGCGCGAAATCCGCGAAAGTGGAAAACCGGCTTAAATCTGTCTATTAACTCTCAAATACGCGCTTCTTATTGGATGACATTTCCACTAACTATAGTTAACTTTAATCACTTTTTATTCAACCGGCTCCAGCAGAGTTATTTTAAACCAAATTCAACTCCAAATGTGGAATAAAATTGGGTTCAAAATAACACCAATGGAGTTAAATTAACTCCCTGAAATTAACAGTGCTTCAACATATAGAAGCATTTTAAATTTGTTATAGAAATAAAGGAATGAGCTTGGAAATGTCATCGTCGCACCGGGCCTGTTGTGCTAAGGCTGGATCATGCTATTGAATATTGACCGGATGGTAATTATTTACGCCTATATAGCCCATAGATATCTTATATACACTAGATAGCGCGTCTCTTTTAGTAAAATTGAAGCCAAGAATATTCCAGCGGTTACCCCCATTTGAATAGATGGCGGCCATGTTGGTCGTTCCCACTCGCTAATAAACGCTTAAAAACAACAATAACTTTCATCATTTGAATACTTTAAAAATGTATTTGGAATAGGATTAACTTAATATTCAAGTTCCCTGTTTAAGAAATAGGAAATATACGAATCTTCTCTCATTTCATGGGAACGACCTGAGACTGCAATCACGGCTTCAATTTTTGAATTGCAGAATAATTAGATGCACTATCTAGTGTATATAAGATATATATAATATAGCCTGGTTCACACTAGAGATTTTGTAGGCGATTTTCTCTTCCATGACAGATGCGAATAAATGAACTCGCACACTTAAAGTATAGAATCACAATATAATCGTTTAAATTCCCCTATTTTTGTAGAAAATAAATTTAAAGTTACACAGTGTTTAAAGGAACAATTTTAATCTATAATTTAAATCATAAACAGCTTTTTAAATTTAATAATTAAAGTTCTAGAAAATTGTAAAACCAATACAATATGTGAATTTAAAGAGCACATGAAGCGAAAATTTGTGTTCATAAAATAAAGACTTTAATTAAAATCATGATTTTTGAATTTGGTAATTGTGGTTCAATTATTATATGCGAGGGAAATCTTTGCTTCCTGTTTCACCCCTTTGTCCTGTTTTATGGACCGGTTTCCATTCATATTATTTTCTATTAAATTTCATTTTTCAAACATATTGGCAACTGAGCTGGCCCGTCTATGTTGTAAATGACAGATTTCGATATCCAGGGGTGAAGTTTATGATATGCTCATAGTAAAAACAGAAAAAAAAAGTTGAGGTCACCGAACTCATTTCGATAGATATGAAGATGAAGATATAACAAGTGCAATATGCCACCTTTTCCCCCATGCATATGGCGCCATCTTGACCCTGTTATAGGAACAATCGCAATTGCTCAACCATTATTGAATTTTTTTAACAAGGATCCTACTAAAAATGTTTGCCTAGTAATTATATACAAGAAAACATGTCTTTTCCCATCTTTTCAGACATGTTATTTTTGGAAGCATGCGCGAAAAATGTATATTATAAATTGTAGAAATGATTTTTCTCTTATATTCTGATATGACATGTAAAACGTTTTGAAGAACAAAAATAAAAAAGTAGGGTCATACGGACCTTCTTAAAGAGATACCTTTCAAGGGTTAAACACGCAACATGATCATTGATGTGGTTTAGTGTTAGTTGCACAGGAAGCCCTAGCCAGAGTTCTGCCATTTTTTAAGGTTATTTCCGGAAGCACGCCTAATCAATGCAGAGTGTTTTTCTCTTTGCCCTTACTCCTTCTTTATCACTTTACATTGCAGTTCTGACTTAATATTTATTTCTACGAGCTATCAGTCTATAGCCTTCGACGGGTGTATACAAATGATTGAAAGGATGCTAAACTTAAGTAGGGGTATGAAATCTGAGACTATCTGTGCTATGTTACAAATGGAGAATATGAATATTTAATTATGTCTGTACAGTATATTTGGAGGTCTTCCTTGCCATACTTCATGTAGCAACCTTACGTATTTTGCTATCTTTGCCAGTTTGAGATTAATGTTCAAGTGAGTCTTATGAGTCAATGAGTTGTGAGTTATGAGTCAATGAGTTACGAGTCTAAAATATCCGGTTTTATTGTATTTAAGTTTTTGTAATTTCTCCATTTTTATGTCCATTTGTTTGTTCCATAGTTTTTCGTGATTAAAAGCGTCGAAAGAGCGAAAACAAGCATGGATTCATATCAGAGAATTGATGCTGTCTTGCAGGCGATGGATTTGTCTGTATACAGCTACGTATCCACTCTTCACTTCGTCGATTAACAAATCCCGAATATGCCGTTCACTGCTAACAATGACAAGGTTTTATATCTAAAGTGTGTGATATCTTATTAGTTATGTATAGGTTTTATAAATTTAAAGACATTTTGGTTGCTGAGTGTAGTATAAACAAGAATTGTTTTTGAACTGACTCCTTGACTCATAACTCATGACTCATAGACTCATTCGACTCATAAAACAGGCAACCTCGCCAGTTTTTGCCATAACTACTCGATAAACACGAAGCCAAAATGAACTGTTTTGTGATTGTCCGTAAACAAAAGTGAGCAGTGTTTGTGCCTCGTTCTTTACAAAATTTATTCTATGGTTTTATTGTTATGATCAACCAATCACAGAACCGGTTCCTACAGCTTCATAATGACCTATTTCCCAGCCTCGTTCCCATGGATATCAACGGTATCTACCGGAGATATTCTGCCGTTAATTGGAAAAGGAGACATTTAACAATTATTAAAAAACTCAATAATTCAGGAGGAAAACACAAAGAAAAATCATAAGCGTGTCGTATCTTTATATGTGATAAAAAAATCATGTTAATTTACATAAACTTTAGCTTTGATTTTCTCGGTTTAGACAAAGTTTATTTTAAAAATTACTTCGCCAATGAACTCATATAAGATGAGTCGTTTTTTTGCGCCTCGCGTTTTATATCTGATAAAACACTCCTACGCGTGCTTTAAATAGTACTTCAAGGCGTAGCTATTGATAATCGCTTTATTAGCATGACCATATTTTACAGGTATTGCTAAAACTTAACTATAACGTAACAATGTAACATATAAAAAATATTTAAGAAGTAGACTATTTAACAGTTATTCTACGAACTCGAGTCGAATATGAGCTGAATATTGCCGTTTTCTCGTTCGCAAAATGTCGGAAATTCAGTTTGAGCCGCCATTTTGTTTTTCTCTACTAGCTTACTAGCAGGATATGAGCTAATATCCTGCTGGTAGAGAACCAATCAGATTGCAGAATACCTCATATCCAGACCTTGTGTATATAATAAAAGAAGATATTATTTACAGAGTGTCCCTATATGTCGTGTGTCGTGGGTTACAAGTCGTGTGTCGTGAGTAAAGTCGTGGGTAAAGTCGTGGGTAAAGTCGTGGGTCATAAAATGTGCTAAAAACGCATTTTTTCACGAAAATATTATTTTTATTTTTAATATTTTTTTCCGTACTTTTTCCTTTTATGCGCTACATAAATACAGAAAAATTTAACGCAACAAATCTCTAGTAATAAAATAATATACATGCTGTATTGCTGTTTCTTATCTTGCTGTTATCTATTGTATAACTGATAACAAGTAAATGTTTCCGTTTCGTATAGTCTAATAAGTCTATAGATGTATTGCTTGATCAGCCTCGTCCCTGGCAACATCAAAGCGCCGGGGACGAGGCTGTTGCTTGATGATACTGAAAATTTCTTAAGTTAGGATATAGCTAGGTCTATTAGCTTTGGAAGTGTTATAGTCCCTATCACGAACGTCGCGAATAACTATGTCGATTGCATATGTCTGATACAAACATAGTGAGCTATAAATTGTACGCTGTATTTAGCGTAACGACTGTAAAGTGGCCAACGCTCGAGTCTCAAATTTTGCTATTTTATCTCCTAGTATATGTTCGTGGCCCTTAAAGATAGACAAACGTTTCATGTATATGTGGCGTTCGGACTGAATATTCCGTAAGTTGCTAAGATTTGGGATTTCGCGATTGAAAACCGAAATGATTTGTGCCAAGATTTGTGCGATGTTGGGCTATTTCTAGTGCCGACCGACCGAGCGCACTAGCCGCTGTTATTTTGACAGAATATGATACCTCTACACTTTTCAGCCGTGATACATAATGCGCGCATTGTAAGTTGTAACCATATACATATCGTTTAATTTTAACTTGATAAAATCAAAATTGCTGTATTTTGTTAAATGTAAAATGCGCAGCGTGTTGCGCACATTTGATAAGAAAAAAAATTGACTTTATTAGACTGAAATAAGCAAGATTTCCCGTTAAATACATGATATATACCGAGGCGGCTTTGCATTAGCCTACGGTGTAGACTCCAGCAGAAACGTGTTTCTTTTCACGAAACGTGTTTCTGCTGGCGGGGGTCTACACCGTAGGCTAGCTTTGCATGTGCTCTGGCAACGATCACACCAATGCACATCGACGCGTTCACGATGAATTGGTCGAACCTGGTGGCATATCAGGGCCTTTTTTAACATACAAGCTGGGGGGGGGCATTTGCCCCCCCCCCAGTCCCCCCTTGTGCCCCCCACGAAATCACATTTTGCCCCCCCCAGGAAAAGTCCCTTTTTCCTAAAATTATACAAACAATCCAGCGAAGATTAACAAATAGATAAACGGAAAGTAAGTTTTAGGCTTTATCCTTTGTTCTTGTTTAACAAAATCGATTTAAATTGTTACTTTTTTACCACTAAGTAATGATAAATTATTGTTAATATTTTTTTTATTTTTTGGATGCTCAGAATGCAGGAAATAGCATTTCACGGTTTCAAATTTCAAAAATTTTCTTGGGATTATCCCTCTAATAAGTAATGATAAATTACAGTTAATATTCTTTTTTACTTTTTGTGCATTTTTCCATCTTTTATTTCAAATACAACTATAGTTAGCATAAATTTTAGAGCAAATTTGGATGCTCAGAATGCAGGAAATGGCATTTCCGTGGTTCAAATTTCAAAAATTTTCTGGGGGAGTACACCCCCACACACCTGACCATTGCTATCCTCCTCTAATAAGTAATGATAAATGATGGTTAATTTTTTTTTACTTTTTGTGCGTTTCTTCCTTTATTTATTTCAAATACAAGTATAGTTAGGATAAATTTTGGAGCAAATTTGGATGCTCAGAATGCAGGAAATGACATTTCCGGGAGTCAAATTTCAAAAATTTTCTGGGGGAGTACACCCCAGACCCCCCATTCATGCGTGGTATATTTGCCACACACGTGGCTTTCAGCCATTGCTATCCCCCTCTAATATATTATCTCACAGAAAGGTCCCTTTTCAAAAAATGCCCCCCCACGGGAAAATCCTTAAAAAAGGCCCTGCACACCATTGCGCTCCGGAACCAACATGCACGAATAACATGTTTTTTATCAAGTTTTTGAAGCTAAATTTTGCGCCCTCGTGGTCAAGGTGGCGTGAAATTTATTGTAAGAATAAGCGAAAATTATACCCTGTGCCATGCAAATTTAAATACAACTATTAAAGGTTTATGTTTTATAATATTCCATAGCAGTTTAATACTATGTTATTAAATGATTATATGCCATTAAAAATTTAATTAACGTTTACAGTCGATTTCACGAAACTTTGACCACAAATTTTCCGAACTTCGTTGCGAAGTTCACAAGATTGTTGCGAAGTTCAAAAGTTCATTGCGAAGTTCAATGAGATTCACAAACCAGTTCGTAAACTACGCATTTGATTGACTTCTTTTACTTCACGGACAAATCAGGGACTTTGTTTACAAATTGGCTTGTGAATTCCAATATGAGCTTCCGAACTTCGCAACGAACTTGCGAACTTCGCAACGAAGTTCGGAACATTTGTGGTCAAAGTTTCATGAAATCGACTGTAAAATCGTCCCCGGGGTGGGGCATTTTCCACTCTCAGCTTGCCCAGGGGCCGTGCATTAGTCTTCAAGTTGTGTCCCGGAACCCGGGCATTTACACTATCATAACCAATCAAATCAAATGCCCGGGTGTGTTCCCGGGGGGGGGGGATGGTTACTCCTGGAATTGACTCATGCATTAGCCACTCAGTATTAATTACAGCGTAGAATTTCATATAGCTCAATATGTTTGTATTAGACATGTGCAATCGACATAGTTATTCGCAACGTTCGTGATAGGACTATAACACTTCCAAAGCTAATAAACCTATATCCTATAACTTAAGACATTTTATCATCAAACTGATACATCTATATAGACTTATTACTATTAGACTATACGAAACGGAAACATTTACTTGTTATACTACAGATAACAGCAAGAGACAGCATGCATTTTATTTTAATACTGGAGTTTTGTTGCGTTAAATTTTCCTGTATTTATGTAGCGCATAAAAGGAAAAAGTACGAAAAAAAATATTAAAAATAAAAATAATATTTTCGTGAAAAAATGCGTTTTTAGCACATTTTATGACCCACGATTTTACCCACGACTTTACCCACGACTTTACTCACGACACACGACTTTTAACCCATGACAGACGACATATAGGGACACTCTTATTTACAGGATGGAAAGTTTAACTAATGACTACCAGCATTCCCGGCTTCAAGTTGTTTAAGTCTTTCCTCAAAACACGAAAAAATAAATTTCGAAAATTTCAGGATGGTGTCACTAGCAGTTGACTTCACTACGTCAACTGATAAAGTTGGTTCGTTTACGTTTGTCTCAGTAGTAGTGAGATCGTTTTTTAGACCGTTTATAACTTTTACTCGAATGTCACCGTAAGCTTCGCAAGTGAGGAGGAGGTGAGTTCATTTTCGACTTCCCCCGAGTGACAAAGGTTACACAGTCGTTCTTCTCGGGCTATATTATGGTATCTACCAGTTTCAATCTGAAGGCTATGGTTACTTAATCTGAATCGTGTTAAGGTTTTTCTTTTGTTTGAGTCTTTTATTATAGATAAGTACTTTTCTAGTTCGTAATCTATCTTGATGGTCGAATAAAAGATTAGTTTCGAGGAATTTTCAAGTTTGTGTTTGTATAGGGGTACG